TGGATTACCGAGGTGAAGCAGTCGGTTAAGTTGTGTGAGTAAAACCCCTGTACGATACAAGCAATTAGTGACGTCACTAATTGCGTTTACGTTGATTTTTTAGATTACTAATACAACCATATTTCACGATCTGCTTAACCTCTCTCTGTACCTCATTGCAGTTCGTCCACGCATGCATATGTGTGGTTTTATTTAGACCATGGAATCCACGGTACACGCTAACTGAATTCAACTCAAAATGAGTATGTCGAAACTTGACGGGTCAAAATTTACTCTACACGCTAAGATCAGTTTACCTAGACGGTACAAAGAGATTACCGAGATTGGCCGTAAAATGCACAAACTCACATATGGGTAATTTTTTTTAACCCAAATATGGGTTCTTATGAACCATAAATGATTTATTTTTATGCAAATTTGACTTTAATTTACCCATATTTGGGTTAAAAAATTTACCTATATCTGAGTTTGTGCAGTTTACGCCTAATTTGGGTAAAGTAAACCTACATTTGGGTTATCTGATCTTAGCGTGTATATTTTACCATACATCTTAAAGAAATAATTATAAGTATTAGTATTTCTCTAAGGTTAATGTTCAGCTGTAGCAAAAGTTCACGCTATTCTGAATCTACCCAGTGACTGGGTAGATGGCACCCACTCTTGTATCCAGTAAAGGGTTGTCAAAATCTGGGTTAACTAGTTTTGTTCTCATGAGTAGAATCTACCCAGATTCTGGGTAAATAGTTCTAATCGAAATTTTCCCAAAGTTAAAAATGGCGGAGGTATGAAAGGAAGATTGTTGCGCTGCCAGTGAAAGTTTTGATGCTCAAAATATATAAATCTGATGCTCGGTTGCGTGAGATGAAATACAAGTTTACGTGAATGAATGTTTACATCACAATTAAAATTCATAATTTTTATCTGTGTAGTTCTAGGTTATCGAGATATTCTGTGACGCTTTTCTCGATGCCAAATGTTTGATGTAGTTCCTAATATATAGATCTCATTTAATATAAAATCTCAATTAATGGTTATGTTTGATAGAGCTACTGCAGCGGTCATATAATCTATTTTCTATTAGAATGGGTAAAGTTTACCCTGTTATCAAATGTCAACATCTGAGTAACCGTTACCAAGTTTCTGTCGCAGGTACGTTTACCCAGATTTGGGTAAATGCATGTTTACCCATTTTTGGGTAGGTTCAGTTTTGACCGATCTGGGTGGATTCTAGCCAAATTTGGAGAGTTTTAAAATAGCGTGTGGACCACAGCCAATGTCCTATAGCAGGAGATCAGCGATGAAGACAGCCTTAGAGACGTCACGACGAATGCGACGAATATTGAGAAGTTGTAGGCTCGACAAGCTACATTGACTTCCATAATCAGGCATGCTTGCAGGGTCTCTCCAGGGAAGCCAACGAAAAACAAAGCTTACAAATCTCTGAAAAGACTCAAATCGATTCGTGGCATTGTTGAAAACGGTGCCCAAACTACTGAGCAGGATTCCAGTGTCGTGTTGACTAGTGAGCAGTATAGCGTTTTCACGTACGAATAGGCTCTGAAATCTTTAGCAAATAAAGCCAAGTTGAGAAGATGCTTGATTGGCGGCATATGACACATGCTTCTTGAAGGTTAGCTGATAATCTAACATGAATCCTCAGTCTTTGACTGTAGTCGCCCGATTCACTGTCTGACCTTGAAAGTTCTATGTGGGCAGGTGCGTGTTTTTTTTCCTGCGGAAAAGGATGATGACACATTTGGAACCTTTCAATACCATCCATCTATTGTATTATCCTCCTATTGTAGAAGGGAAACTGCATCACTACGATCCTTTTTTGTCAGTTAAAATTATCCGCATAAAATAGCTTCAGACTCTGGATTGTAAAGTGAATGTCATTCAAATACAGCAGAAATACAAAATGGTCAAGATGACTACCCTGGGGTACCCTAGAAGAAACTGGCAACGACAGAGAAATGCGGTTACCTATTTTCACTGACATTTGACGGACGCTGAGGTAATCACGAAGTCAACTAAGGGGTTAAGTCACTGTAGCGGGTTACAAAATTTTTTTACGTCTTTTGGAAACATATTGGGGGAGCAATTAAAAAAAAAACTTAGATCGACCGCGTTACAAAAAGTGGTCAGGTTTTGACCACTTATAATTCTGTCAATAGCGGGTGGATTTTAATTCTAAACAAGCCAGTCGATTGGAACATTTTCTGCAAATGTGCTTGAATGAGCTTTTTATCAATTTTCAATAGGTCACTGTTGAAAATTACACAAATTTCCAACTGCAAAAAGTGCTTTTCCTAACACTGATTTCAAAACTGAATTCACTCCGGAGTCGCCAAACGGTACATATTCAATCACCATATGTGGTGGTGTCCGGTCGGTCGTCATCAGCAGCAGCAGCAGCAGTGCTTTCGGCGTGTGGCGTTGAACATTGTTCTCCAGTACACAAATAAAGGCTGCCCACAAGCAGTGAGCTGCAGCCCATATGGGGGTCCATTCACCGAAGAAAAAGGAAGAAACCGCACCGCTACTGATAGAATTCAGTAGCTTTTTGTGAGTCACCCTCGTTCCAAACAACATACAGCTCGTCAGCCTCATCTGTGTTGAACATCCTAATTGCTCAGAATTACTCAACCATCACGACAAAAAGGTCCCTTTCAGGACCACCGTAAATTTGTTAAAAAGTATTTTCTGGTCATTTGTCAAGGTCATCAATCGGATGTCAATTTCCATGAGTTTAAATCTTACATACCAATGTATTTTTAAGGCAACTTAGGGGGTGCAATTTCGAAAACCAAAGCCGGTCGTGGTTTGAAAATGGTCTGGTTTCGATTCAGAGATGATGGATTTTAGCTCTTAATACGCCAAACGATATGACATTTTACTACAAATCTGTAAAAATTAAGACTTTATCAATTTTCAAAAGGGTCACTGTTGAAAATTGCACGAATGTGCAAATGTTGCGCTTTCCTTAACACAGATTTCAAAATCAAATTCCATCCGGTCTCGCTGAACGCGTGTGGTGAGTGGTGGTGTCCGGTCGTCATCATCATCAGCAGCAGCAGTGCATTGTACATTTTTCTCCAGTATACAACGAAAGGCTCCCTGAAAGTCTCGATTCACCGAAGAAGGAGGAAGAAGCCGCACCGCTACTGATCGGATTCAGTTGCTCGGCGTGAGCCGCTGTGGGCCATCCATGCCAAGCGCGTCACCCTCGTTCCAAACAATATACAGCTCGTCAGCCTCATCCGTGTTGAACACCCTTATAGCTAAGCATTACTCAACCATCACGACAAAACGTAGTCTTATTCTTCTTGTCATTCTTCTTCTTAATATTCTTCGCATTTCAAGCTTATTGCTTATCGCATACTAGCTTATTGCGTGCTTTCAGTTTAGTGTTCTAGATGCATTTGCACGGTTATTAATTGAGAGTTTGCGATGCCTGTACCATTTTTGCATTAATTGTGTGACAAGTTCAGGGAGGTCGAGAAATTTTGCTTTGCTGCGCCTTTATCTGCGTATGCTCTACGCATCACAAGTTAAAAGTATGTGGATTTATGATGATCAGTTGAAACCAAATTGCATAAATAAATTACATTTCACGGTTGTTATAATTGATCAAAGTTATAGTTGAATTGAGTATAAGATGAACAGTTGAATCTATTAGGTAGATTTGATTGAGTTGACGGTCAAATTAATGTTGGAATAACTATAGGTTTCTTTCAAACAACAATATTTTTCCATGTGAAAGTAACTATTAGGATTGTTATCTTAACTTAACGAATTTGTTCTCCGTGCACAGGCTCAGATATTATCCTACATCGGGGTATAATTATTATCAATGGTGCATAATTTCTGGTTTTTCGGATCGTGTCGCCTTCATCGAACGGTGAATGTCATCAGGCTGTAAATTCGATAACATAAACCAAATGCAAACATTATGATCACAATAAGCTCATGCAGAACAAACAAAAACAAACATCTCATATTTCTAGAAATACTGCTTTTTGAATTTGTTATCGGTCCATTTACTGCAGAAGTAACCTATCGCGTTAACGTCTTATGATTGACTAGAACTCATTGGAATGAAATAATCAATCAACTAAGCCCCAACTCGTTAATCCAACAAACTTTTAGCGATAATGTTTGGAGTTCTGGTTTTCAATTTCAGATATGTTGAACATCGCTGACTGGGGTAGCGAAAACCTCAGACAACCCACTGAAATAAGAACCGTTCATCCTTTAGACCAAACATTTACCAAACAAACGACCAACCAAATAATCGTTCAGCTGACTAGGGAACCAATCAATCAACTGAAAGTCAGTCGAATGGTCATGGTTAGTAAATATTAAAGTAACCAACTAGTCTGTTGATTTGCACTTTTGCATGGTTGCGCCGATGCACAGCTTATATAGCGCTTCCAAGCTTTATATTAGTCGTATATCAGCCTTTACTTGCAAAAACGCGATGAAGCGCGAGGGCAATCAAATGATTAACTGCTTGATGAAACGAATGCGTTGATGGTGGGTCTATTTGCAATTGGTGAGCTTTGATTGGTCTGCTGGTTAGTTGGACGATGTTTGGTCAGCTTGTCTGTTTGTTTTACACTGGATCATTTTACTATCTAACGTTCCATCTTTCGGCTCAACTCTCTGTTTCTATAGACCAATATATCAAGCTTAATCTGTTGGACTACATGATTAACACACAATTCAATATCCACAATTGTACGTGCATTCACTTCCATAACATAACTCAACGAATAGCTGAAAAAGCACTGCCCAAGCTGATTTCTCAATGCAAGCATCTGGAAGCGTAAAATATTGTCTATCTTGCATATTTTGCATAATTTCTCGACAGCGCACAGAAGCAGCTAGTGGAACTTTGCAACAACGTAACTCAATTAAAGCCGCAGAAACTTGTTCGTTTTTTTCTTTGCTACGTAGCATCATCCAGAAAGAAAATAGAAGGACTAAAAGAAACTAACCTTCCCCACAACCAACACTGCTGCAACGGCTACCAAAGCGGCCACCGATGCCGGCTGGAACCGTGAGCCTCGCCATCGCGGGGCTTCCGTCGTGTCCTCTACCATCTGCACCGACCACTCCAACGCCACCGTCGCACGGTTCGTTACGACGTCTCGAGGGAGCCCGGTGCCACCGCCGTTGGAAGCCGTAGCGCCTAAAGTGGTTCCAGAGGCATTTGATCTTGCGGAACTTGTTGTGCCGACAGCTGGCCGCATCGGACCCACCGTCGTGGTACCCCAAGCCACACCCACACGGTGGAGACCGACGAGGGTCTCCAGCATCGGTGCCCCCGTAGCCCGTGTCGTCGTGGTCGTCAAAGTCCGTGTCCGTATCGTTGGCATGGACCACGTTGTCGTTGTTGATCACTATGCAGATGGCGCCGCGGCGGGTGTGCTGCTTTTGGCTCGAATCTTGGAATCACGGAAAATCGGAGAATGGAGGATTAGGCTCATTAAGGGGGGGGTGGTGAGGGCGTCAAATTTTCTTTCGGGTGTGTTGAGATGTGTTTGTTGCGAAATAGGAACGGAAATGAAACGAAATAATCTTTTCTCGGGTAAAGCATTGAAAGCATGAATGCGTTTTGTTTGGATTGAGTGTGAATGTTAAATGATTTAAACCGATAGGAATGAATAACGATTGTGAAGTTGTTTGTAAGCAATTGGCGGGAATTCTTTCACAGTTCAGTTATTCGCATTGTTGATCCTTCAATCAATTAGCAGTATTAGCTCGTTGGCTTCAATTTATGTCGGACTTGCTATGATTGATAATTGCTCATCGGGCAATCAGCGATAAGCCGGAGGGAATTTGCATTGCCCACTTTATAGAGTAGTAATAGATGGACGGATGACCTGACAGCCAATGGATAGTTCTCATACCTACTATATCACTAAATGGTTAGTTCACATCCAGTAAGCCGCTAATACACTGACACTAACGACTAGAATAGAATCTTACGGTAGAGGATAGACATTTCGGTGAAATAGAAAACATTTATCAATGATTAGTAAACAAAATGAGCTGCTACCGCTGAATGACCCTTTATTCATCACATTACAACAAGGTTTTTAATCTTTCATAGTGGTAAAACTTAACCCTATGAGATCAGCACTGTTAATGTTTGGTTTAAGCTTCAATTATCAATACATTTGTATTCGTACCGCACATGATAGACCATATATAAGCAATTTTTGGACAATTCAACATTTAGCATTGCAAATCATGCAAGGCAGAGAACCTATTTTCATTCTATCGAATTAAAAACATCCCATACTTTATCTCAATATTATGTCCATAAGAAAACGTATTACGAATATTAAGGACTGCATCAAAAATAAGTAGCAAGCAAAATATTCCATCCAAATTCGTTAAAAAATTTGTGTTAAGGCACTTCCAATAATTATAAAATTTATCCTAAATGAATTTGCGCCAGTTGAATTAGGACACTCATACCCAATCTACTTTGCATGCCAGATACCACAAAGCAGAGCAGAATGCACGTAGGTATGATTTCTAACACACCATAGGGCACACACAAGCTCTATTCACTGATAGCCCACCGTATCAGAGGATCGAAATAAAATCAGTACAATCAAGCTACCGAAGAGTGTACATCTAAAACTCTATCGCAGTAAATAAAGTTTCGAGTATAGTAGTTCAGTGTACCGCGTTTCATCAATACTCTTCACATTGTTGGCTACGGTTAAAGCCACACCCGAAGGACACTATCCGCCGTGAGTCCACCATTAGTCCGGAGAACCAGCTCCCCAACATTTAATGGTCCTTCGAACCCAATCCGCATTTTTAGTAACCGAAAATCGGCGAAGAAAGTGACCTATTGTGTGGTGATTATACCACAAGCGGCATTGGTATCACCTTTGTGTTACATCAATCCATCAGCGTCGGAGGATAAATCAGCTATTGCGGATCCGGTAGGGCAACCGGAGCGGTTGTTACGAACCTGACTGTGACCAAGCTACCAGGACATGTCTCATCCAACGAACACGGAGCATTTCGGCGTTTCCAAGGCGCATTTTTACACCTTCCGTCTGTTCGTGGCAAATCTGGCGTGGCTTGGGTCAGCGATTTGGAACTATACCTGAAATGGACAACAGCATGGCGTTGTCATTGCGCGAACTAAGCAAGACCGAGCGAGGGTACATTGATTCCATGGCCAATATAGAGTCTTTTGTTGCCAATTTCAATGCACAGCGGGATCAAGCGAAAATTGCTTCACGTTTGGAGCATGTGGAAACGTTGTTCGAAGAGTTTCGGGATAATCGGGCGAAACTTGAAGTGAGACAGGAGCAAGACTTAGCACTTACTGCTAGTGCTGAAGGCAAGGACGTTCACCTTAAGAAGGACGTGGAATTGGCCAACAGGAAACACCTTCCAGTATTCACAATTCCTTCCTTTGACGGTAGTGTGAAAGATTGGTTGAGTTTCCGTGATGCTTTCCAGAGCATGATCGACAAAGATGTTTCACTCTCGCCGATTGATAAATTCAATTATCTTCTCTCAGTGCTCACCAAAGAAGCCAGGACGTTGGTAGAGTCAATCGAAGTTACGACTAACAACTTTGAGGTGGCGTGGCAAATGCTTGAACAACGGTTCGAGAACAAAAAGATCATTGCTCGCACATTGATGGACAGTTTTCTGGATGCCGAGACGATCAAGCGGGAATTTTACGATGCCCTAGTTGGTCTCATCGACTCGTATGAACACAACCTACAACCTGTTCGTGGAAGATCTGCACTCCGTTCGCACCACCGGTCAAGTGAAGTCTACGTCAAAGCTGAAGGCACTATCTCCAGTGCTAGTAAATGGTGTTCTTCGCACGAGAGGTTGCCTCAAAAGCAGCGTATGATCCTGGATAACAAGCATCCGTTCACTCTTCTAGTTGTTTGGTATTATCACCTTAGTCATCTGCACGCTGGACCTACGCTCCTCATAGCCACCGTTCGTGCTAAGTTTTGGCCTCTCCGGCTGCGTGATGTCGTACGAAAAGCCACGCACGGATGCGTCACCTGCTTCCGCAACCGTCCAAGTTTCAACGATCAGATCATGGCAGACTTGCCATCGGTTCGAGTAACACCAACCTTACCGTTCCTGAATACCGGTGTTGATTTCTGCGGTCCATTCTATCTTCGGCCACCTACCCGGAAAGCTGCTCCGCTGAAATCGTTCGTGGCAGTATTCGTTTATCTATCAACCAAGGCAATACATCTCGAGTTGGTAGGCAACCTATCCTCAGATTCGTTCATCGCCTCCCTGAAGAGGTTCGCAGCACGCCGAGGGGTAGCACAGACCATCTACTGTGACAATGCAACCAACTTTGTCGGAGCTCAACGAACGCTAAACGAATTTCTGCAGCTGTTTCACACCCAACAGAACCGCCAGGATGTTACACGTCAGTGCTCCGCCGAGGGCATTCAGTTCTCTTTCATCCCTCCGAGATCACCTCACTTCGGAGGCATCTGGGAAGCAGCGGTAAAATCCCTGAAGACGCACCCCCGTCGCACTCTTACGAACGCTTTGGTCACCACTGAGCAATTCCACACGCTGCTTACGCAAATCGAGGCGCTTCTCAATTTCCGGCCTCTAACACAGCTTAGCACTTCTCCCGAGGACTTGAACATCCAACGCTAACTATGTTTTAACATCCCTCCTTAAGCGGGAAATCCTGTGTTCGCTAGTGCTTTGGTGAATATATGCTTTGTGTTCGCTAGTGCTTTGGTGAATATATCTGCTGTCTGTAGGTAAGATGGGACATAATTTAATGTAATAGCTTAACAATCTAACTGATCTCGTACATAATGATGCCTATCAGGGTTACTTCCACTCACTTGCTATAAAAGAATGTTTTTCGGAATTATGAAATCATGAAATAGTATAATGCTAATTAGTACTTGTAAGTTACACGAAGAGGTCATGAAGTATATGTTTGACACATAAAATCTGTCAATATTGCTTTCAGTGCGTCACAATCAGTGATTTTTCGACTCGTGAGCGCTCACTCTAAGTGAACGCTCACGAATCATAAGATCGCTGATTGTGACGCTCTGAAAGCGAAATTGACAGGTTTTATGAGTCAAACACATACTTTACACCCTCTTCTTGTTACTTACTAGTACAAGATATCATTATAACATCTAATGATTGCAAAATTCCAAAAATATTTTTTTATAGCAAGTGAGTGGAAGCAACCCTGATGCCTATATGCTTGCTTCTTGAAGAGTAGCCGACATCCTTCTCCGCCAGACTTATTGCGCTCTTGTTATCGTAGTTGATCGGAACGGAAATTTCGACACCATGAAGCTCTCGCAGGAATCCCCTCCACCATGCCGTTTCCTGGGTGGCAGAAAAGAGTGCCATATATTTAGCCTCGGTGGTGGAAAGTGCTACGGTGGACTGCCTCTTCGAGCTCCAAGAAATAGCACCTTCACTTTGCAGGAACATGTAGCCGGTAATGGAACGCCGAGTTTCGACGTCGTTCGCCTAATCCACATCGATGTATCCTTGAAAGTTCTGCTATTAGTGCTTTGTACCTTTCAGGTACCGTAGAATTCGTTTGACTACCGTCCAGTGGGTTGCTCCAGATTCATGGCTGAAGTTGCTGACGCCACTCACCGCGTGGCTGATATCTGCCCGAGTGCACTGCGGCACAAACTGCAAACCATCGACGAGTTCCTTGAACGGAGTGCTTTCCACCTTCTCTTTCTCTTCCACAGACTCGGGTTGCATCACTTTCGTCAACTTTTTGTTCACGTCCAGAGGTGTCGATACGGAGTTGGATCCCTCCATCCGGAATCGCTGCAAAAGTTTGTCAATGTAATGCTTCTGGTCTATGGCTACCATGCCATCGGATCGGTTGACCCGCAGTCCCAAGATGTGCTTGACGTCCCTCAGGTTCTTCATTTGGAACTCTGAACACAGTTGTTGCTTGACTTCGTCCACCAGGGCTTGATTTTTAGAAAACAGTAGAAAGTCGTCCACATAGACAGAAATGATGATCACCTTTCCGTCGCCGAACCAGAAGTACACGCAGGAGTCATAGTTAGATCGCTGGAACTCAATCGCCTGGAGTTTCCGATCCACCTTCTGGTTCCAGATACGGCTCACCTGTTTCAACCCGTACAGGGCCTTCTTGAGTCGGCACACCTTCGTCGGTGCCCGTGCGTCCCGGAAACCTTCCGGTTGTTCCATGTAGATCTCCTCTCCATGAAGTTTACACTGCAAGAATGCTGTCACCGCATCCATTTGGCACACCAGCAGATCGTATTTGGCCACCATGTTACGTCGTAATCCTCACCTTTGACTTGGGAATACCCTTTAATCGGGCCTTATGTCGTTTGATGGGGCCATACGGACCCGTCTTCAGTGCATACACCGCACAGTGAGCGATGCTCGGCCT